CAGCTCCATGGGGCAGGCCCGCTAACAGTGTCAGCTCTACACTAACTTCAACCTCTATTGACTTCCTGCATTCCATGGATGATGGTGGCTTCCTACATTATTGGTGTTTTTTTTTTTAATTAATTTATTTTTACTGTTTTGACCTTTCAATATGTGTTAACTTCACTATATTAAATTACTTCTATTAAAGTAGTATGGTTTTGGTTTTCCCTAGTTTACTCTCAAATAGTAAAAGCAATAACCAAAAATAATGTATTATGTTTATGTAAGACCTCAACAGCTTTCTGACATTAGTAGTTAATTTTATTTTTAATATTTTCTCCTAAATAATATATGTTCAAATTATTTAATCAAAAATGCTTTTTTTCATATTAATCTTTTAACCTCTAAGGAGAGTATTATATTTTTCTTCTTTAACATAGTTTATTCTTTTAATTAAAATTCTTGTGTTCCTTAGCTATGTTTACTTTTGAATTTGGCAAGTTTTGTAATTTCTTCATAAAGAACAGAAGAGACTGAACAATCACACTTTTTAAATTAGTGAAGCCCGGATTACTCAGTTTCAACTCTAAATCAAACATATTCCTGGATGGTTGCCCAGGTTTCTTTCTTCTCAAATAAGATTATTAACCCTGACTTACACATAAAGGAACACATATAACATGCACATAAAATATAAAGAACAATTAAATGAATACCCATATATTCAAATTACAAATTAAGAAACAGAACATATTTTGAAACAGGCCAGTTTATTCCCTAATGACCCATTACCTTAGGCCCAGTGAATTCTGTTGCTTATTCCCTTACTTGCATCCTCACCCAAAAGAATTAATTGTTGCTTATTTGAACTTTACAAGCTCAAATCAGAGCGCTTGTTCTTTTACCAATGCCTTTGCTTTTCTTAAGATTGGTAAGCGATTTGTGTACTACTAATATAGCAAACACAGTTCAGTAGCATTTCTTGATCAGTATGATGTTCTTTGAAAGATGTTGGATTTTGTTTGGTTGCTATCATTTGGAACACACTCATGGGGCTCTGCTGCTCTGTTGTGATATGAACGAAGTTTGTTCGTGCCCAGTGGAACATATCTGTGAGCCAGGTTGCAAGCTCAGAGACTTCAGCTACCTTAAGTCTATTGAGATTTTGATATAGTTTCTCCAGAGATTGCATCTCTTGACAAAGAATGAACTGGGGGTATCATGTGGAGTGACAGTGTCTAGAAGAAAGCTACAAGCAGTCAGAAGAAATCAAAATTGCTGAACAAAAGGCATTTCACTGAGCTCAGAAGCCTGACTCTCATCCTGAGGGGCAGGCATAGGTATTCTCAGATAAGAAGACAGACCCAACTCAGTGGATGTCTTTACAGGCATGCTAAGATGAAGTTTGGGTGATTTCCTAAAATGTCCAAGACCTAACACATTGTTTCTCAGTTTCCACAGAAATAAATATCAAGATAGTATGCAGAAACAAGAGGGCTAGATGACAGATGAGTGACTTGTGGAGACAGCACACTTTCTACTAACAAATAATCATATTATTAATTCAATATTACATCATGAATAGCAAATGCTACTGAATATTTACCACAGAGTACTATAATGACTTGTTTATATGCTTCACTTTTTGTATGTCTGATTAAAACAATTACTTCTAAACCAAAAAAAAAAAGTGTAGACAGATTATTTGAAAATTCTTAAATTTCACTGTGTAAAAAGAAAAAAAATCAGTTTGGGGGCTGGAGCGATGAATCAGCAGTTAAGTACACAGGCTACATTCCAAGGAGACCTAAGTGGTAGCTAACAAACTCATGTAACTCCAGCTCCAGAGGATCTGATTCCCTCTTCTGCCCACTATGGGCACTGGGCATTTATGTGGTACATAGACATGCATGCAAGCAAAACATCCTTACACATTAAAAAAATACATAAATCTAAAAGTAAAATAAAATAAATTAAAACAGATTTTAAAGGTTTTACAGACCAAAGTAGATACTGTTTTTAAGTATTATAACTTCATCCATATGAAAATTATCCGAGTTTTAAAAATAAGAGATAATTTCTTAACTCTCAGTATTTGATGCCTTTTTGAGCTAAGCTGATATTACAAACAGCAGTGAAAGCAACTTCAACAACAAACAGTGATACTGTTTCTTGAACTTGTTTTCTTGTAAGCTCAGAGTCCAGTCATATTTGTGTTCCTAACACAGTACCAAGCTTGCATTTCTCAAAATGTGTTCCAATGACCACAAAAGCCACCACACATTCTGTGGGGGAATGAAAAGGTGCTCTGTGGTTAAATAAAGGAAAGAACTACTTCAAATCACTGCTGTAAGATACTGTGAATTCCTTTTACAATTAACTTTGCAGTTTCTGTACTTACTTGGTCATGAACCCCCTGTTATGGTTTTGATACAGCATGTCCCCCAAGAGATGCATGTATGAGAGGCTTGTCTCTCTTGACAACCAGCAGTGTCAGAGGGTATTGCCCTCAGCAACATTTTCATGCACCAATGAGCTCATAGATGAATAAGGCTACAGAGAGGTTGAAAGTCTTTGAAGGAAGTGGTTACAAGGTGCATAGTTAGGAGTATGTATCTTGTCCCCAGACTTATCTACTGTCTTCTGTCCTTCTGGATGCCATGAACTAAGGTGTGCTTCGGAAGCTCCCTCACATATTTCCCATTTCTATGACATTAAATTGATATAATCCACTGACAAAGAAGGGAGTTTTTAGAAAACTGTTAAAGTTGCTGATCAATGAATGGTACAGCTCTTTCAATATATTCATCTTTCCTTTATATAAGTCATACACCTTTATGGCTGCAAACATTTGCTCAACCTCCTGTGGTTTTAACATATTGCAAAGATGATCCTCCAATATGTGGTTTTCTGTAGCAAGTACATTGATCTAGAAAACACATGCCCAAGACATAGAGTGGGAAAAGGCACTGACTATCATTCAAGTCCATTATCTAACATCTGTGCTGCTGGGCTCTGAGACTTAGGAGATTCTGTCATGTATATTTAATACCTAGAGGTTCTAAAGAAAACCCATGTGTCCATATATCAAGTATTTGCAATTATGTGTATAAGTACATGTGTGAACATCTCTGTGAAGGCACATTATGTGAAGTTGTACATCTGTGTGCATACATGTACATGGTTGTGTGTATACATGGATTTGTTTGTGTATGTGTGTATCTGAGTATTCACATGCAAGTGTTTGTATGTGAATGGGTATGTATGGGTAACTGCACACTTACTAATAATATCATTCCTCTTATTAATCATCTGTAAATGACGAAATCCTAATTTTTCAGAATGAAGTGTTGATGAAAGTATGAAATATGTCCCAGCCTCTTCAGAAATGCCCCTGGAACCACTTCACTGTGTATATACATTGCAAGTAAACAAAGCCGTAATTTCTGAATTGTCATAAACTCTATAATAGGAATTCTTCTGTAATGCTTTAAGAATTAAATTGCTTTTAACCATCTTTTAAAAATGTATTAATTAGAAAGTTTGTACATGTATGCAATATATCTTGAACATATCCACCATCACTCCCCACCTTGCAACTCTTCCCAGAATTCCTCATCACATTGCCCTCCCAAATTTATATATATGGTTCCATGATTTCCCACAAGAACAAATAGTTCTTACAGAATTGTAACACTCTGATAAGACAAAGCTATCTTTCTTGTCCTTAATCAATAGGCACACATAAAGCTGGAATGGAACATATATAACTAAGAGGGAGAATTAAAACCCTTCTAGTTACTTTGTTTTGAGGTACTGATCACATTTCACTAATACTTAAAGTGTACCTTGTAAATATATAAGAACTTCAAGAAAATGCTTTATGCAAGCAAGGAAGGAGAGTCAGATGAGGCCTTGCTCATGTCCCTACCTGACTGCCATAACCCAGGAAGCAACAGAGCTGTTAAACATCTGCCTGTTTCATTAGGGCTGGAAAATTATTAGAACTACAAATCTGGAATAGCCTTCAAAAGTGAAATAATCCTAGTTGCAAACGTGAATGTTTAATAATAAATCTATAAAGAACAAAAAAAAAACAAAAAACAAAAAAGAAAATGCTTTATTTATTGAAATTCATCTAAATATATGTGTGACAAGAACATAACTGTGTAAATCTGGTGACAGATCAGGACCATCTTGGATAAATGCATCACCTATTTTGGGACTGGGTCTCCTAAAAACTAAATGTAAATTTTAATTTCTATGCAGAAGTAATTAGCTATTTTTTTTCATTTGGTAACACAATATCAAATTAAAATGCTATGTCATCTTATTTGCTCTCTGCCTAAACTTAATATAACTCAAAAAGCTGTTGAAGTAGATTCTGAAAACTATAACAACAATAAATGGCACAAAAAGATGGAAAGGGATATTGTTTTAAAATGTAAATTATGGAAGACTATTTTCTTGCATGTAAATGTTACTAATAAAAGAAATGTGAGGGGTTTCAGATAATCACTTATCAAAACTATGTGACGTTAAGCTTTGTTATTTACAATACAACAGTAAACACCTATGTGTCATTTAACCTATGCATAGGACCATGCTTTGTTTTTACAAGTGCTCACAAATCACAGAATTTTGGGCAAGCATATCAAAGGAGAGCAGGCAAGAACTATTAATCTTCCAACAATGACAGGATTTGTGTCCAACAATGATATGGAGGATATCCAAAGATTCTTGGCTACAAAATAAAAACAAGACATGAACGTGTTCCCGATGAAATGAACTGTTACTCAAATAGCTAAGAGACGATTGGATAACTGAATTCCAATGCCCAACTTTTGGAAGCAATGAAAAATAAAAATATTGGCAGATTTTTCTTTTGCTGTACATAAAAAGATCAGCTCAATGCAGCTTCTACCTGAATAACTTATTTTAGAAACCATTAAAAGTCTATCATCTATCATTAAGAGTATACATTGAAAAATAGATCTAAGTTCAAGGTCATGTATTACCTTTCAAGTCTTTCTTTAGTTTTCTGAGATCTTTCTGGAAGTCTTCAAATTTCATCTGTGAGGCCTGGAACAGCTCCTGGGGTTCTGCCAAGGGGAAGACACACTGTTCCTTGCCAGCATCCTAATTAGCAAACATGATTTTAAAACAAATCAGTGTGAGAAATAAAAAACATGAGACAGTAGAAATGGAGCAACTCCAACAAAACAACAGGGAAAAAACCACTAGGGAATCACCCCACAGAGAAGAATAATGGGCCACTGAGATAGCTCAGTGCTTGCTCTGCCGTCATCTAGAACCTGAGTTCAAATCTCTGGCACCCATGTAAAAAGCGAATCATGGCTGCATGAGCCTGTAACCTCAGCAGTGTGGTGGTGGTGGGTGGGAGTAGAAATAAGGTGATCTGAGAACTCATTGGCCAGCAATCATCCCAGCTGAAATGGGAAGATCCCTGTATAGTGAGAAACTGTTGAGAAAATTAGATGGAGTTTGTGGAAAGGGCCATGAGTCTTGCTTTGGTCTCTGCATCTGCATATCTGTACAAACATTCCTCCACACTCATATGCATGCATCATACACACATAAATGCCAAAAAAAAAAAAATCAAGATAGAGCGGTATGCAAAATCGGTCTTACCTCATCAAAATTTCGAAGATAATATGAAACAATATATGACAAAAGGCTTCTGCTGTTGTCCTAGGCAGAAAGATCAAAGTAAGCAACACATATTTAAAAATTATTTATTATTAAGTATACTGTGTAAATAAATTGCAGGAATCACACATATAAACATGGGAATACTGTGAGTGCTTTTACAGTCTACAGTGCCTCAGTCATTGTATCTAAAAGGCTAGATGACAGAATTTTTTTTCTTCCAGCATTAAGTGCCAAGAGAAAGCTTCACTGTTTAAGGAAGAAGCTCAGATGTAAACAGGTTGCTCTTTTCACTCCATTCCATCAGAAATTTAATTAGATAATTATATCTTTTACTTAATGTATTTATTTTGAAGTTGCTTAGCACTTTCGGTTGTTTTTAATTGCATGCATTTGTTTTGCCTGCAAGTGTGTGTGCACTACATGTGTGCTCCATGCCTGAGGAAACCAGTAGAAGGCAGTGGATTCCCAGGAACAAGAGTTATAGGTGGTTGCAAGCCTCCCTGCGAATGCTGGGAACAAACTTGGCTCCTCTAAGGAACAGCAAGAGGTCTTAGCAGATGAGTGATTTCTCCAGTCCAGCACTTGGTTTTCAAGTATCACCATAGTGAGATAAATAAATATCACTTGTAACTCCACATATATGATCTCACCAGTACTACCATGGATTAGACAGAAATTCATTAGCATTCAGACAAGAGAAATAGAAAAGCATTTCAGATAAGTGCAAACTTCTAAGATGCCAATGTATATTACAATTTGTTATATTAACAACTGAGATCAAGGAATTAATACTTATGCTACTGTTTAAAGATAATATATATGTATATATGTATATATACATAGCATTTGAAAATGTAAAATAATTTTATATTCAATAGTCTAAAGTTTTCAAAGAATACTATTTTGCTTCCTGTCTGGCACATCTAGAAGCTTTACATTTTAATTGTTTTGACTTGCTCCAATTGATTAACAGATAACTTAAGTTTGAGAAATCCTAGTATACAATCTAAATTCTCTGAAATGTTTCCTCTGTTGAAATACAATAGGTTTGACCTAATTTGGTCTATATATTTGGGTTATAAAGTTGGTCCAGAATGACCTCCTTACATAGTAAACTGCAACCCAGCTTGAAGCTACTCTAAAAGTATTGACTCATAACCAACAGACAGACTTCCAACCAATTGGAAAGTGAAAGTTTTTGAATCATGACCATGTAAGAGAAATGCCAACAGCTTTGATTCAGGCTTTCTATATTTCACATCTGGCTGTAAATATAACCCGCACTCATTTGAATGGGGGCAGGGCATTTGGAACATCACTGGACTGTAATATTGCCAGGTCCTAGAACTTCCTCTTGTACAAATAAATCTCCTTAAATGTAATTGTTCTCAGAGCTTCTGTTACTGGATCTAGGCATGAGTTTTCCTGTATTTATGAAAAGAATAATGCCACTTAGTAATCAAGTTGCATGGGATACAGTAAAGACTTCCCTACCAGACAGGATTTGCTTGTGGTTCAAACAACTAGAGGTCTATTCTTTGTTCTAAATTGTCAATCAATGAAACAGCAGTACATAAGTCAGTTAGTAAAACACCATTTAAAAGCTTGCCTATAGGCATAAGGAGAGAACATTCTGGTTGATCTGAAACTATAGTCTCTATTCTATAAATACTACTGAGGAGTAATTACAACCACATTTGCATTCTTGAGAAAGCTCCAATTCAAAATCTTGCATAGATAATATGAGAGGACAATGGAGTACTAATTATAAAATATTTTGCTTCTTTTCTCAATATTTTTAATATGTTATTTTGTGATTATTGAAATGGATAAAATACAATTTAATAGGAGGAAGTGATACAAAGCAAAATTGAAAACACAATCCATCTTCATACATAATTATAAGCAATTTTTGTTTACAGAATATACTTTGTATCAATTTTTATAAGCTAAATATTATATCGACTTCTTCATATGCAAATGTTATTTGCAAAAGTTGTTTCAACAAACATCTATTTGGAAAATAGGTCATTTTTTAGCACATATAATTCATTACATCTAAAATTAGAAGTGTTTCTATGAAATGCTTATAATATAAATGCAATAGCACTTGAATATGCATGCTTATTTAAGTACATGTGAAAGCCATGTAAACTAACTGTTAGCAAGAGAAAACTGGCTGAGACAATAACCCTAGCTAGGAAAGCTGAGGCAGGACTCTATGTAGTTTGATGCCAGCCTATCCTACTGAGACCAAGTCTCAAAAACAAACAACCACAAATCCCAAACTGAACTAACAAAAAGATTATTATTCAATTTCAGAAATGCAGTGTCTCATATTGCAGACACTTAGAGAATAATGTTGAATGATTAGTGAAAACATGGAGAATCAGTAAATAGTCAGAGTCCTGACTGATTAAAGAGACCAAAAGCAGCTCTCTCATGAGTACAATGACAGCATGCTGCATCTCTCATGAAGAGAATGACTGCATGCTGCATCTCTCTCATGAAGATGATGACTGCATGTTGCATATCTCACATGAAGATGAGGACTGAATGGTGCATCTGTCCCATGATGACAAGGACTTCATGCTGCATCTCTCTCATGATGACAAGGACTGCATTCTCTCAGGATGACAATTTCACTTCTACAATCATTTATTCAAACCCAGTACTTAAAAGTGCTCCCATATTTTCTCCCAGCTTGGTGTTCTTTCTGTGCAGCAATTCTCTTTGAGGAAAGCGAGACTCTTACTTTCTAAGTTCGCCATCTCAGACTTTCACCTATGAGTCATCCATAAACTTACCTTTCCATTTCAACTCTAACAATCTCATCAGTATTAATTCTAAACAACAATAGCAAAACCACCACAGAGATGCAGGGCTAAAAATAACTATATTAGCCAGGTGGTGGTAATGTGCATGTTTAATCTCAGCACTCTCTTGAGTTTAAAACCAGCCTACTACACAGCTAGTTCTAGGACAGCCAGAAAGAACTACACAGACAACCCATCTCACACAAACAAAACAAAAATGTCAAAACAAACAATCCCCCAACAAAAAACCTAGGTCTGCAATCAAACTTAGACATTGCCATACATGCCAGCAGAAAGAACAGTGTACAGTATATAAAAGTGGGGTCTTATTTTATATTTCAGTTATGAGCTACTTTCATTCATGTTTGGTTTGTTTTCAATGCTGCCTATTGAAGAAAAGACAATGGACAGAAGTTCTAAATCAGTGAAAATGATTATCCCTCAGTTTCACATCAAACCTAGCAGGCCTGATACAAGAAGAAATACTTAACTTCATTTTAAAACATTATATTATACTCATTAAACACAGGACTCACAATTCCATTAGGAAAATTATCACTCCTTTAAACTACAGATACTCAGATGATCTACTTTAACCTAGCTCAGAAAATAAGGGAACTTTTTGCCACAAATAGAGGACCACACCTGTAGAACCAACAACTTTGGAGAAGAGACCTAAGAACTTAAGAATCCAGAGTTTAAGGTCATCCTCACATAGCAAGTCTGAGGCTATTCTGGGCTGTGTAAGACTATTTCAAAAGTTACATAAACTTAGGTTCATGTGTGTGTGTGCCTCTCCCTCTCCCCCCTCTCTCCCTCTCTCTCTCTCTCTCTCTCTCTCTCTCTCTCTCTCTCTCTCTCTCTCTGTGTGTGTGTGTGTGTGTGTGTGTGTGTGTGTGTGTGTGTGAAACCTTTGACCTCAGGACAGAAATGGATACTTTCTATATCTGGTTTAAAGCCAAACCCATTTAAAAACAAAACATCCTCAGTTTGGTGCAACTGTTAACACAAAATACTTACACTGCTTTTGACATCCTTTAGCTTGGGCAGAATGTCTAATCCAAAGCCATCTGCCTGTCCTCGAGTTTTGTTTCCAGCATTCATGTAGTTCCCAAAGGCTAGAACCAAACCCAGGACTTGCATGACCCCTGGTCCATTTTTTAATGTCTATAAGACAAGATAGCAATGATTTTTCTGTTACATGCTGTTTTATTTGAATCATCTAAAATCAATATCAAGTTAATCCTATTATGCTGACAGCTTTGAGTGTCAGCCAAACAATGTCCTTCCATACTATTCTATATACCTTAAAAACAGCATCTCAAAGTTACCTTTACCATAGCATGCCACCAACAAACATGAGTGCAATTGTAGAAGCCAAGAGAGGCCCCAAACAAGGAGAATTTCTAGAAAACAATACCACCTTTATTATCCTTAACTGCTTCAATGTTAGAAATAATACAGATTTCTGGCATAAGCTGTAGTATTCCAAAAAGCAGTTATAAAGGCTGAATTCCAGATTTGGGCTTGCCACCCACAAGTTCATGCTCTCCACTCACTCCCAGAAGCCTGTCTGTCTTCAGGTTTTTGTGCCACTTTCTCTGAAAGTATGCCTGGCAATAACTTCCTATTCTGGGGGATGATTTACTCCAATCAGAACAAATACTTCTGCTGGTTTTTGATAAACTGCTTTAAATGTTAATATTGGTCCTTCCAGCCAAAAATTCACTTGCTGCTTTCAGAAGAGTATTTACCTTCCAGAGAGCCAAATGACTATTCCAAAAATCATTTGGGTACAATAAATATTAACACTTACCTGAGGCACCATTTCAAACAAACAAAGAGAAATAAAGGGCATGCCTTCAAATCACTTCCATTTGGAAGTACAATTGCTGAGAGAATGTGGAAAATGGGGCTTTGGTTTTGGTGAAAGCCTTGGGATCTGAGATCCCAGGAGACCAATACAAAATGGCTAGGGATCTCAGTGTGATCCCACTGCCCTGTGAATACCACTGCCCTGTGAATATGATATATTTATTCCTGAGCCTAGTCCCCAAATAGTCCCTCATGTGGGGTTGCTATCCCTTGAATTTAGAAGTACTGCAAGTAAACAAATATCATGGAAATAAACGAGAACATGACTGAACACAATTAATACCAATATCTGCGTTCAGTTCTCTGGCCCAGAACCCACCTCACACAACTTCTGCAGCAATTCAAGTTTGCGACGGATTGAACAAATGCTCTCTGAAAACGTTGACTGGAAGAGGATGCAAAAGACTCTCTCTGAGAAGTTGGGGATTAGTGACAGCTCATAGAGGAACCTAGGCAGACAAAGGCAAGGAGGCAGAGAAAGTGTAAACCACCCAAACAGTGATGCTTCCTTTATAACAAACACGCACTCAGGTCCCATCACTTGCCATTTTGAGAAGCCCACTGGCAGCCTTGATTGCCCTCCCAGGTTCCTAGACACACTTACTGTTCAGGTTTGTCAAGAGACTTGGCATTTTCCTTGTCTTTGGAAGATCGACTGTGCTTTTCAATTTTTTCCAATTCATCTGACTGTGCTCTCTGGAAAAACAAAAGCCAAGTGGGTGGTTTTTTTTGTTTTGTTTTGTTTTGTTTTAATCGCTTCAAGGGTTTTCTTTAGATAATGATGATTGCAATGCAGCAGAATTCTCTCTATTTTAATTTCTTAGCATCTGTTTGTGTTAAAACTTGACTTAATATGTGAGGCATTTTAAAGTGTAAATATGCATAATAAAATCCAGATCGTGCTTAAATCCCTCACATAATTCTATTGGCTATTAGGGATCTGAAAGATATTTATTAATTAAAGCATAAAATAATAATTTTCATTAATTTGTCTATTTATATTACTTTCTAGAAAGTCACAATTTTGTTTAAACATAATCGCTCTCATTCAGATCTCAAACGAGTTAAATTTGGAAGTAATTTGATGTTAAATGTCCTTAAAAATATTTAACTATTGCAATGATTGCATATTGCTTTTGTTGTACTTGAAGAAAAGAAAGGTGCAATTAAGCCATTAAAACCTGGAACAAAAATAAAAGATTTTCATGTTTGTGTTGAAAGTGATTTTTTGATACAAAAAATAGCTCCAGCTATATTTTGCTTTTGTCTCCTTCTACTCCTTATAATTGTAAGCTACAGATTTTGTTATTTTGTTTCTTCATTGGAGAGAATCATCCTCATTTTTAACACACATAAAGTATTTACAGATTCCATGAAGCACACACTTATTTCTTCTTAAAGAACATTGGTATTAGTTTTATTTGTACTCAGATATAATTTTACACATTACAAAGATGTGTAAATGAACCCTGCTTGCATCTTCTACATGTATCCCAGAGTCATATATATGGCCATGTGTTGAGTTAGGAAGGCAGTCCTCAGAACTTAAAACCCCTTCAATACTGTAGTTTGTTAGAAAGGATGTATAAGACTGAGTAAAGAGATCCCCAGAGAAGGTGCAGGCAACATCCATGATATGTAAATTAACTGGTTATTCAGAAATGAAGGTTTTCAGTTGATAGGCATAATGATCTAACCTCAAAATGAAACATCTTCAGCTGATGACAGGTCAGCCAAAGAGGGAAGTTGACACAAAGAATCTACTTTTTTCTTTGGGATGTCATGTATCAGAAGGGTCTGATAAGAGAGGTAGATTCTCTCATAGGCTTATGAAGAAGTTAAATTCTTTGCAGAATTTCAGGTTGTATGTGACTTCCACACTTCCCTGGCTTATAAGGAACTTATAAAAGATACTTAGAGGAATAAAGACCAATGATGTGGGGCTAGAGAGATGGCTTAGTGGTTAAGAGTGGGACTAGCTCTTGCAGAGGACCCAAGTTTGACTCCTAATATCCACACAAGGCAGCTCATGCCTACTTTTAACTCCAACTACAGGGAGGAATCTCACAGTTTTAGCCTCTGTAGGCATTTGCATTCACATGCTTGCACATGTATGCTCGCTCATACACACACACACACACACACACACACACACACACACACACACTTGAAAGTAAGTCTCAAAAAATCATTCATTTGATTTATTCTCAATTATGTAAAAATGTCAGTCCCAGAACTATCATCATGTTTCTTGTTTCTTGAAGCCATATTATAAAATGTCCCTTTATAAAAAAAAAAAAAAAAAAAAAAAAAAAAAAAAGGCAGATTCACCCTACTGGCATGAGAGACCAAAGTAATACATGTAATAAGAATATTAAAAAGGCAAGGATTGTGAGAGGCAAACTTAGATACAGTTTTCTAATCTCATTATCTCATTATCCTTCCTTTTTTTTTTTTTTTGTGAAAGCTATCTTTATTTGGAGCTGTGGTGTGTCACACAAGGTATTCTTTTGTCCTACCTGCTTTACTTGTAGATGTTCACTCAGTGGTTCATCTCTGTGAGTCATTGATCTGGTTCAAGACCTCTATTTTCTAGTATGCCATCATCACTAGGCCCTATCTGAATCTCCTCTCTGATATCCCCTAGCTGTCCCAAGTCAAGGAGATCCTGCAGGTATAGTTCCTCCGAACTAGTCCCTTCATATGCTCATGTAGGTCACAGATGGGGTAGATGTTAGGGTAGGTCAACCCAAGGCCCTGGATGTGGGCCTGAGTGGTAGTTAAGCTGGTCAGACCTGGCTACTGGGCCCATCACCTTCACGTGAGGTTTGGAGCTAGCTCTATAAGCTGACCCACAGCCTCATCTTTTGGGGGCATTTTCTCAAAGCAAGGGTCCCTCCTCATAGGTGACTTTAGCTTATGTCAAGTTGACATAAATCTAGTCAGCACAGAGAGAGAGAAGGTTGGAAACACAAGAATATGAAAGAAACACTGAAGGCATGATAGGTAAATAATGGCATTTATTTATCATCCTAGTAGTATTGTGAAGGCCCTTAAGAAGTCAAATAATTTCTAAAATAAGATACTTGTGCATGCCTGAAATGGAATCAGTTCTGTCAAGTGCACAAATAAGTAGATACAAAAAGAGGACTATACCCGCCCACAGTATGTGTGAATTAAGTCATCTATACCCTCACCTAGTGCAACTCTGTTGAGAGCTTTTTTGTATACCATATAGAAATGTGTGAAAGTACAGGAATACGGTCTAAAATACACAAGATTTGTCCAACAACATTACTCTAATAAGTCATGTTGTGCTCTTTTTAATAATATCTAATTGTTCCTGGCCCATCATCCTGAATGTCTTCTTGCAAAACATGAAGGATAAATAAATGTCTGGTGTTTTTATACCTACGGAGGTCTCAAATTCTTACCCTTATCTTCAATCATACAAATTATCTAAAACTATGACTGAAATCTGTACCACAACCCAAACTTGGATGTTTTGGGGTTTTTTGGCACTCCAGTGCCCTTTTTTTTTTTTTTTTTTTTTTTTTTTTTTTTTTGTAGCCCACCCATTCATGGTAATCACAGATACTGTGGATTGGAAGAAAAGGAGGAGTTTGGAAAAAAAGAGGATTTATTTATATAAAGGTATATTATTTACCAGGCATTACACTAGACAAGGGAAACACACACACACACACACACATATACACACATACACACAATTTTCATAGTGTTCAAGGTATCTCAAATGGTGTTCCAGAGGACACAGATTTATACTCCTAAAATCCTTGGACTATATATGCTGTTTTGATTTTGAAAACTCGTGGTCCTAAATATAAATAGTCTTAGCAGTTATGTTGGTTCGGATTATTTAATTTCATTATTCATATCTGTTAAATACAGCACAAAACAGATATGTATGTGAGAGTAGAGAGAATGAGTACCCAGAATCAATTAGTACCCCAAAGATATAAATAGCCTAAGGGATATACAGTAGAAATAAAAGGTCAGGCAAAACTTCTCTAAATTCTTTTGTTCAGATTCTTTCCAATTGCATGACGCTTCTATATTAATTTTTTTGCTCCTCTTCTCAAAGACCAACATCTAGTATTTATAAATATTCTGGATAATCTTGTATTTATTTACATTACATCTTTCTCATGAATTTAATACCATGCCTTCTTTGAATTTCTCAATCTCTGGTACCATGCATCTCCTTTATTAATTATTCCTAACAATGACATGATATGTATCTTTTGTCTGTATTTTTATTCTAACCAATATTTTTGCTCCATGTAGGCAATACCTTTCTTAACTTTTTTTTTTAATCAACACCTCTAAAATCAAACCCCTTTTCCTTCTCCCCAAGCCTTCAATGATCCTTATTCCAAAACCTGAAACAATGGACAATGGTCCTTCCCAGAGTGCTGGGAGGTCATCTAGATGTTTCTAAACTTTACTTCTATACGTAATAAATCAAGGAGTCTCACATGCACCTACTTCTATTGCCATCATCCTGGTCCTAACTAGCATAATCTCTCAACTCACTGTTTCAATATCCTGCCTTCTTAGTACTTGTGCAACCACCTCTGTCTCTCTCACACTGAAAGATGTTTTTTGTTTGAGTGTTAGTGATGCATATAAGATAATGCATGCCCTATTCAAAAGTCTTTGATGGTTATCCATCATTCCTATATAATGTAGACCTTAGCATTCTTACAAAGTCAATACTGTCATCTCATTATTTACCTCTTGCTATCTATATTCCATTCTTTTTTTTTCTATATTCCATTCTTAATAGCTTCCTCCTTGTTCCTCAAATAGATTGGGTTCTTATACCACCAATGCTGCTCCCCATACTCAAAATGTCCCCTACACTTCTCACTCTCCACATCTACACACACTTGCTTCAGGTTCAATCTTTATAGTTTGGGGAGACCTTTCTAAATCCCTACCATATGGTGACTACACACACACACACACACACACACACACACACACACACACACACTAAATCTTCCCTGTAGAAATGAACTTATCCCCAGGAGCACATATCATAATGTTAAAAGAACATTCAAGGTCTGAAGTCTACACTAGGAAATTAGATCTATAATATGAATATAATTGCTTATTTTGTTCATCAATGTATTAATAGCTCAGCACACATGCCAAAGCAAAGCTTGTATTTGATAAATATCTGGGGGAAGATTAAATTATATTGCTCTCAAGTTTCCTAATTTATTTTTACTGTCTTATTTTGCTTTCAATTTAACCATTCCTTTCTGTAATAGAAAATATTAGTATCAGAAGTTGAAAGAGTAGGGTACAGTTACAGGGGTGTTAGGCTTAAAGCAATGGGCATCAACACATCTATAACAATAATGATCATGGACAATAATCTGATTTTATATTGGATGATGGCAGGAGGAAGTATGCCTTTCTCAGGAAAATGAGATATTCTATAGAAACAGCCCTTCAAACTAATCATTTCCTCCACTCCAGCAACAGCAGCCTTGCTCTTCTTGTAATTCTCATGCAAACCACCCCCTTTTTTTAAACTAACCCTTTCCTATAACCATATCTTCCAGTGCAGCACTAAAACTGTCTTCTTTCTGAACTAAACCTCATACTTAATTTCCCTACCAGTAAGCCCTCACCCATTCCTTCCCCTAGCATACTTTTCTTCC